AAGTATACTCTACTACGGGAGTACACTAGATGACTCGAAGAGCATTAATACATGTGGGAACGAAGTTGTCAAAATGTGACATAAGATTCACATATTACCGATATCTGTTAAAATCGCTTTGATTTTGAACTATTTGTTGACATAACATCCAAGTCTTATGGCAAGCAAAAATCCTGTATCCCAAAGTAGTGGTTAAATCGTGATTAAATTCACTGAAGAAATCAATTGGGGATGTAGCTCAGATGGTAGAGCGCTCGCTTAGCATGCGAGAGGTACGGGGATCGATACCCCGCATCTCCAACTTTTACCTAATTTTACAAAATGCACCCAAAACTCTCTATTTTCCGTTTCTTTTTGCTGACAGAAATGAACCCAAATTTTTCATAGAACAAGTACGTCTCAAATTAGGGAAAAGGGGAAAACTCACCAATAAACGCACACACACAGATACAGCTGCAGCCTGCAGGCCCATTATTATAAAGGATACGGTTGATCATCAACTCATCATCGTCGTGCACCTTATTTGACTGAAAAAGGAGACGGTTGATCGAACGCTACACTTTCAGAAGCTCCAAGGGCAGGCTTTGCTTTGGAGGACGCCTGCCTGCATGAAATTGCAGCTGCTGCTAACTAAAGCTGCTTAATTGTATTGCTTTTGTGGGTGGGAACTGGGAACCAGGGGCGGAGCTAGGTAGGTCCTCGGGGGGGCCGGGGCCCCCCCGAGAATTTTGAAGTTGCGTGTATCGAGCATATTGAAAATTTCGTATAAACTAAAGTTTCAATATAAAATCCATTCAAGTTAACTAATGTCATCAAAATATTATTTCAGTGCAGCGGAAAATATCCATATTAGTTTTAGAGAGGTCCGTGGTTCGAAGCTTCAACTGGGCCTTCTAATTTTGTGTTGTCAGCCATTTTATTTTCTGCTTCAACTGGGCCTTCTAATTTTGTGTTGTCAGCCATTTTATTTTCTGCTGGGTCATTTTATTTTGTGTAGTCCAGCCATTTTATTTGCTTAAGTGCAGAGTAAAATGCTCAACCATAGGTGATAGGTCCAGCCATTTTGTTTTCCTAAGTCCAAAGTGGAATGCTTCTTTTAAAAACGGTATATTTAATTTTAATGTACTATTAATTTCTTATATTTCTATTCTAAATGAGCCAAATTTTAGCTCACATCTTATTTTAAGTGAAAATAGAACGTGTTATATAATATTGAAATGCATTAGTATTTGTTTGTTTATTTTATAATTTATATTAAACCTAATAGGATAGAAATTTGTAGTTAAAATTTTTATTTTGAGTTATTTAATAAAATTTAAAAATACGGTTATCATAATATTAACATATATTTGTCTTTTACTATTTTAATTTATTTTAACGAATTTTTGTTGTAATCGAATAAAAATTCGGCCCCCCCAAACGTCAATTCCTAGCTCCGCCCCTGCTGGGAACTGCAGGAAGGACGGTACATCATGCATCTATCGGCTTTTGATTGATTACTTGGCCCGTTGGCTCTCTCTTCCAGCTTTCTCCTTCTCCTTCTTCGAATCTTGCAGTACTGTACCGCCTTTTTAAGCTTCTATTCTATTCCTCCATCGGCCTTGCCATTGGGCGGTGCCGCACCTGAGGAAGCAAACCATATCCTGCTTCTGCCCTACACCCCTTCAGCCCATCCCCTTATTATGGACCACTACTATACTCTTCTTCCTAGCTACAAGTTTGAGTCTTTATTCTTTAAATAAATAAATAAATAATAATGTCTGTTCGAATCATATATTGTTTAATTTTTTCAATTTCAAAACACAATGTGAAAATGGAAAATGACACGGGTTGTTTACAGGAATCGAGTGTTCTTGTTACGTGATAAATAGGTTATCAATGAGATGAACATACTAGTTCTGGTATCAAGCTAGATCTGAGTGTAAATTTTAGGGCAATGTCTATTTTTTACCCAAATCTTTTTCAGATTCTTTTATTATAACCAAACCTATTGAATTCTTAAAAATTATCCAAACGTTAACTCTCCGTCAACTTTTCTGTTAGTAATGCTGACTAAGTATGACCATAATAAGTTGACTTCCTACGTGGTAATCAGAATACCATCATTTACTATTTTTAATAAAAAGATTATCAAAAAACAAAACAAAATCCCACCTCTCACATGGACGAAATAAGTAACGGTAACAGAATGAATGCCCAGACTTTGATAAATTATAATATGTTTGGATAATAAATAGAATTTCTATAGGTTTGGTTAAAATAAAAGAATATGAAAAAGGTTTGGGTAAAAAATAGACATTGCCCTAAATTTTAGGGTAAATACAATATAATAGTCACACTTTTTGAAATCAATTTAATAGCCAATCCGTTAATTTTCCGTCCGGTCAGCTGTTAGTTGACTTTAAAGTGAGCTGAGTCGGGAATGACGTGGCAAATAATAAATTTTTTATTAGACAAATTGATATTTTTTTAATTTAAAATGGAAAAGATAAATCCCTTCATCTCCTCCATTCATCTCTGACATCCTCTCATCTCCCGTCAATTTTGATCCGCCGCCGCCTTCCTCCACAACCACCACCATGCCACCTTCTTCCTCCACCACCACCATGAAAATTGTCAATAATAATAATAATTAGATATTTTTTTGAGTTTTGTATCACAGTGTTGCCTGCTATGTAGTCAAAATTTCGCTTTAAAGGTTAAAAACTTATGATCACTTCTATCTCACCAAAATGCTTCTACATATAATCTACGCTTTTATAACTAATGTAGTTAAAAAAGAAACGCGCTTTTGACTACACTACGTGCCACAAATTAAAAAGAGAACTTTTTGTATAAATGGAAAATTATCCAAAATGGAAATTCTACCAAGCAAAGCAAGGCAATGATGTTATGGGATAAATGACACAAATATTGTTTTTTTTTTTTTAATTTACCACCAATATGGCGGATTAAGAAGTATTTACAGAGATATTGTGTTTTGGACACACAAAATGGCGACAACACCTGGGACTTAGGCGCCGCCGCTCTGGATGATATTTTGGATTAAGAGACAGCGGCGGCGCCGAAGAGTCAGGCGGCAGCGCCGGTGAGTCCAGCGAGTTAGGTAAGAAACTGTCCCAGGTGGCGGCGCCCGAGACTAGAGTGGCGGCGCCTGAGTCATCAGCGAGTTAGGTTGCCTCCCCCCTATATAAAAACCCAGCCAATTCATTTCAGTTTCACACCACAAAAAAATCGTTCAAAAAACAAAGGAGCTTTGGAGCTCTGGTTGCTGCTGCAAAAATGGCTAATAGGTAAGAGACGCATTTATTTTTGTAATTATATTATTCAAATGTTATTATGATTGTGTTTAGTTTTAATTAGTGAGTCTGTTTTTTTGTAGTGATTTTAGAAGATTTGAACTAGTCGTTCGATGGAAATCGGAGAAAGTAGAAGATAATTTGGGCGTCAAATTCGTTGGTGGTAGTAGTTTTCAGATGACGATTCCATCCAGGGTCACATATCATTATCTTTGTGAGAATCTAATTCCGAGAATACGGCGTAGAGACGAAGCAGTACAAGATAGTGATGTGATCACAAGTTTCATTTACCGTCTTCCAGAATGGCAGAATGGTGTTTTATTTCATTATGCAATGCCTATTGTGGATGATGATAGCTTGAATGTGCTTTGGAATTTTATGGCACAAAATCCTTATTGTTTGGGTGCTGAGATACATGTTGAGCTCAGTGAGGATCAGGGTGGAGAGGTAGAAGATGATACATGGAGCGTGCCATCCGATCATGCCTATGGTGACGGTGATGACGGAGAGGAGGAAGATGAGGAGGAGGAGGAGGAGGAGGAGGAAGAGGGGGAAGAAGTGCCTAATTATCCTCCATATTTTTACTTGCAGGGTAATGAAGAGGACGAAGAATACTCACTTGTTGATTCATATGGCGTAATTCCAATGCATATTGTTGATAGTTTTGAAGGAGAATTCTACAAGGGGCAGATATTTCACTCGAAACAAGCTGCACAGATGGCGATTAAACACCACGCACTACAACGCAACTTTCAATATGGCGTGGTGGAGTCGTCACCTTCAATCTGGAAGGTCAGATGCTTGAGGCACAAGGATGACAATTGTCCTTGGATGGTGCGGTTTGGATGTCGAGATGCTGGAGGCGAATGGACTGTGAGAAAGGCTGAGTTGGTGCATTCTTGTAGCAGTACGACTCAACCGACGGATCATCGCCATCTTGATGTCGACATGATATCTGAGGCCGTCAAACATTTGGTACGTGCCCAACCAAATCTGAGTGTTCTAACTGTGCAAGCTGAGTTGAAAGATAAGTTTAATATGCAAGTTACTTACAAGAAGGCTTGGTATGGGAAACAAAGAGCATTGGAGAAGTTGCATGGAAATTGGGAAGAATCCTACGATTTTTTGCAGACATTCTTGCGGGTAGTCAAGAGAAAAATGCCAACATCGGTGATTGATTGGGTAAGAGTTCCTTCGACTCAACCAGGTCATTTGATATTTCAGCGAGTATTCTGGGCTTATGGACCTTGTATAGATGGATTCAAGAATTGTCCGGGCGTCATGGTTGTTGATGGAACATTTCTTACTGGGAAGTATAAAGGAGTGCTACTCATGGCGAGCTCATTTGATGGTCGGAAGAAAATTTTTCCAATTGCATTTGCCATAGTGGAGAGCGAGAATACTGAGAGTTGGCCATGGTTCATAAGGAACGTTCAGGGTTTGACTGATCGAAATGATGTATGCATCATCTCAGATAGACATGCAGGACTCTATGAAGCCATGAATAACATCGGAAGAGGTTGGGAGTGGAGGTGGTGCATGCGACACTATGCAAGCAATTTGCAAAGAAAGACTAAAAGCAGAATTATGTATAAGCAACTATTTCGAGTCGGTAAGCATTCTTCATTTAATTATGTTATTTATTTTCATGTAATTTTGTCATGAATTTATCTAACCCGTGTGATTGTTTATTTTGTTAGCAGGATGTGGCTGATGAGGCTCATGCTGCCTCATGCCAAACTGCCGGAGCACGCGGTCTGGATGATGCCACATCACCGATGAAAAGCAGATAAGTGGCACTACTGCTCGAAATGTCTCAGACTGTATCACACTACCTCTGAGATGAAGTGCTCTCTCACGGTAAGGTTGCCACTACATAGCAAAAATTTAACGTTATTATCCCTAATTCTAAAAAAATAAAACAAATGAAAACTATTCTATAAAATGGAATGTTATATACTAACCACCACGGTGTCCATCGCGTCTAACCACAGCTTGTACTGGAATAGCTGGTCACCATACTGACGACTGCTGGCCGAAAGCCATCGAAGACCACGTGGATGTGCATCCTCGGTGGCCTGTGCCCTCGTCTCTGAATCTCGAGGAGCTAGATGTGGGAATCGCTCCCACGCCCAGAACTGCAGTAGGACCCATCCACCAAGGTCACCGGCTAGAGAAGTGCCGGTATGCGAAATGTGCAAAGTCGACCTACCCATCTCACGGTACAGGTAGGATAAAACAGCAGCTCCCCATGCGAACCCTCCAGCCCTCTCCCAATCCTCAATCAGAAGTAGGTACTGTAGGTGCACTGTAGATCCAGACCGATCCGGGAAAAGTACACCTCCAATCAGAGATAGAGCATAAGCTCGTGCAAACTGCTCTATAACCTCCTGTGATGCATCATCCGGCAGATGGCTGAATTCAACCCTCAGCCATGTAATCCTAACAACAGCGACCCCGCCTACAAGATCATAAGGAACCCGTCCTAACAGTCGCAAACAGATCGCCGACCACTCCTCATCCGGTATATCAACTACGACGGCATCACCGTCGATCGCCAAACCGGACAGTGTAACAACGTCCTCTAACGTGATCGTGACCTCACCACACGGTAGATGGAAGGTCGACGTCTCGGGTCGCCACCGCTCTACGAGTGCAGTAATCAAACTCGCATCGGGGTTCATAGGGACTAGGGGCACGACACTTAACAAGCCTGCCGCTTCGAGATATGGCCGATAAAGCTCACGGTAAGGTACTAAAATGGTCGTACCTCGAACATGGAAAGATCGATCACCAGCCTATATAGTGCACAAAACTTATATTAATTTATCTTCATTCGTAATAATTCTAATTTCACCTAATTAATTCTAATCTATCTAATCTAATATCAAATTATACTAATTTCAAAAAATCTAATACGTAATCCTATTCTCTAACAATACAGTTCAGTTCACCAACTAAAATAATCTAATTAGCTAATTAACTTTACATGAACAATTATTAAATACTTACCTCGTTTGTCCAAACAGAGTCAATACGATGTTGGCCATGTCCCCAAAGAAGTGTCGCATCGACCGGACTTGGATCAATTGTCGCCGGCGGTAATCTCATCGAATAAGGATCCATAAGCCTAGGAACTGCAAAAACAAACAACAAAACATCAATAAAAAAACACAAACCATTAAAAAAAAAATTCAAGCCGCCGACGAGAGTCTCACCGCGCAAACGGCTGCCACGACCTCGCCGGCCTCTCCCCCTGCCTCTGCCGGCGGCTTCTTCGTCGGAAGACATCAGCGGCGGCGCTTCAGACTGCAGCGGCGGCTCCCCTCTCTGCGGCGGCGGCGCTCAATCCCCAGCGGCGGCGCTCCCAGCTGCGGCGAGGGCGCTCGACTCCCCAGCGGCGGCGCTCCCTTCGACGGCGGCGGCGCTTCACTTGCAGGCGGCGGCGCTCCACTCGCAGGCGCCGGCGCTCAGTTGCGGCGGGGATCTCTGTTCGGGCAAAGAAAGAAGAAGAAGAGGAGGGTTTTGGGGGGGGGGGGGGGTTGTGTGGTCTCGGGAAGAAGGAGGGGAGGAGAGTTGTGTGGCTGGGAAAAGAGATAAGGGTGGAGGGGAGGGGGGGGGCCCGAGCCCGAGGGAAATTTTAAAAAAAATTAGTTTGAGGCGGCGGCGCTCGGGACTTGGGCGCCAGCGCCCGGAACTTTAGGTTCGGCGGCGGCGCCTGAGTCTCCGGTGTGGCCGCTAAAGCCTTTTCCAAAAACACAATATCTGTGTCATTTGTTTTTAATCCGCCATATTGGTGGTAAATTAAAAAAAAAAACAATATTTATGTCATTAAACCGATGTTATGAAGACAGGGTGGCAAATTGTTTCAAATTGTTTTTAATAAATATCGTAGGGAAGCAAAAACCTGTTGATGTAACAGGTCTGTGATCTATGTGGCCAAGAGCTTTTGTTCTGCCGCGTGGCTTTTCGGGATCTTGCCCTGCTTCCCAAATTAATGGAGTTTCTCCTTCTCCTTCTCCTTCTCCATTATTTAACTTTTGCATTCGATCTATGTGGAATTTTCTTTGTATCAATAAAACAAATAAATAACTATGATATCTTTTTTAACTATATCTGACGTGGAGACCCACGTTGAGGCTAATGTGGAACTCCATTGAATAACATTGTTAACCAAAATATGACTAAATGTTTTTAATGTATTACATATTTGACTAATATTTTGTATTTTGAAAGGTTCGGTAAATATTTTGAAATAGTTAAAATGTTCGGTAATAATCGTATTGACCTAAAATTTTAAATATATATAAAATAAAAGGTCAAAATTTAAATTGAATCTTACGTGAAAGGGAATGGAGACGTTGACGTGGAGCGTCGTTATAAAATTATTAACGATAACAGACAATTGGATAATATTTTGATTTGACTTACTTTGTATATTGTGAAATTCTTAACTCAAACCTAACCCGCAATCCAGTTCTAAGTCAATATCCATTTCACTATTACAATGTCAACAATTTGCAACAGTCTTTCTAACATAATTGCGCTCCGCTCCAAGATAATAACTTGGTTACGTAGGGCGGAGGGAATCACCAGTGTCATTTCCGGCCGGTTTGTTTGTAACATTTGGTGATAAATTTGGCACCCAAATCTTAAATATCATTTGAATTTCAATAGTTTCATCGTTTGTGGAGTGAAAAGCTATAACACAAATTCATGAGATTCACGAATTCGAACTTTTGAGATCCAAATAGTTTGAGCCCAGTAATCGAGTTCTGCTCGTAGAGTCTTACTACGAGCTAGCTATCTCAAAAAACCATGTGAACTCTTAACATTAAACTGGAGTATTATCTGTCTTCGATTCTATCTAGTATTATATATATATATATCTTCTTAATTATTGACAATATAAAGTGAAGATCTGCAGAGTTTTTTTATACTTTTACGTACACTGTAGTCTATATATCATTCCAAAGGAAACTACTGACCTGGTGAAATTAAATAGATTTCCATTTAATAATTCATGGGTTTCAACACTGTATATGTAGCAGAGAAATAATTTAGGTCCAAACCAAGCCATGTGACTGTATAATGTGGAGGTGGGGAATGCCCAGGCACGGGTTGCATGCATGCCAATCAAATCAATACATATACATACAGGCAATAATAATATAATGGATAAATACTAACTATTAGTTAAATTTCTTTCACATTAGTGAAATTTTTCGAAATACGGAATAATAAAAATTCTCCTCGTTTTTAAATACTATTCAAACTTTTTGAAATACAGAATATTAGCCAAATTTTTTTGTAACACATCAAAATATTAGACATTTTTTGTTTCCGTTAATAATTTTGTAACATTTTTCTGAGTTAAAATGCTAGTATTTTGTAATGTTGACTCAATGTGTCTCTTCAAATCCTTATCATGTTGCCAAATTAAAATTTGGCTAATATTTTATATTTTGAAAGATTTGGCTAATGTTTAAAAATACGAGAAAATTTTGACTAATAATTAGTATTTAGCCTAACAGAAATAATAACCAAGGTTTTGAGTCATGTAACTTCGTCCAAAATAATTCATACTTCAATTTCATCTTAGAAGTACCGTACGTAGCATCTCGTGTATTTTCTGAAATTGTTAAAATACCATGTTTAGGGGGGGAGGGGAAATATAATTGTATGTGAACAAAATTTCTGGAGGTCAACAGCACTACATGTATTACATTTTACGTGGCTTTCTGTGATCTGGTGGACAATGAGAAAATGTTGAATATTATCTGTCACTAGTTACATTAATTATTTTCCTTACTTCCTTCTCGTGATCCGATCTGCCTTCTTACTTCTTATATATTTTCAGTTTTTCACAGATTTTCTCCCTCGTGTAGTTGTATATGCAAAAATAGTTAATTATGTTTTTTTTGGATGTTCAGAACTATTAAGAATTTCATTATTATATGTAAATTGACATCAACTGTCTATTTAGAATGACGATTACGAGGCGAGTGCATTGAATGTGGCATTCCAAATTGCGGAAACTATTCAAATATTTTCTATTATATTTCCCATGTTGTAAGGTTTGAATTATTGTGCATTAGAAAGCCAAGCTCGTCATTTCACTTCTGTAGCAGAGTCGCATCCCTACTTGCAAACAGAAGTGTTATAATGACATTATTAATTATTATCGATTGACCTATCATGTTCATGATAATTCAATTCTTTACCAATTAGTAGAAAGTATTAGCCAATATGAATGGTGATGTCTATAAGAAAGTTTGATTAGTCCTTTCAAGCCTATATCTCTCTCTTTTTTTTTGTAAACCTTATATAATCAAGAGCAGCTTCACAAAGAAACAGAATCAAGTAGTGCCCTCTACAATATCCCAAACAATCGGCTCAAGATAGGGTGCATAACCATGGGTTATGCACCCATCAATAACCAAATCTGGACCCTTCATTTAGAAAATCCAGATCTAAGAATGGAGAATTAAAGGCTATTTTTATTTTCACTAGCTTTCTTAATTTACTCATATTTTTTTCGTTTTAACTCGGATTTTAATTTTTTTTTGCACAGATGGAACGAGTTCACCGTGCTCTACAAAATGGGATCAATTTTCAACATTTTTTTAGGAAAAAAAAGTTCTGGCCTCTCGGTACCAACTGCATACCATATGGTATCTTCTTCGTTTTTAATTCGTTTTTGAAAACGTTTGCACAGAAGGGACGAGTTCATCATGATCTATTGGATCTACAAATTTCTGGGTGAACAAATTATAGGACCAAAAAATACCACACAATACCATACAATACCACCCTGGTACGGGGTGGTATTGTGTGGTATACAATGTTAAAAGTCGTAAATTACAATTAATATACTTCTACTATCATGTATTCAACCATCCTACAGTATTGGTTTGTTCATACCACCATGGTACGTTTTTCAAAACATAGGTATGCTTTTATTTCAATACCAGTCAATACCATATGGTATAGGCTGGTAAAAAATGGCTCAATTTTTTTTGTTCGAAAAATATATTAAAGTGGATATCATTTTGAAGAGCACAATTAATCTGATCTAACTGTGCAAAAAAAATTAAATTTCGACTTAAAATGAGCGAGAAATCGTCCGTCAAAGATTAAAGAGGGAAAAATTAAAGGCTTTCCATGAGAGAGAGGATGCTGATGTCATGCTGATGTGGACGGGTTACTCATGGTTACTCACCATAAGGTTACTGACCTGATCCATTCCCCAAACAATCCTTTGTGTTAGGTTCGTGAAGTGGCTCACTTACCAAGCTCTGAATTTATACCCAGCACATACTGGTCATTGTTGGTATCACATTATGACTAGGATATGTTTATTGGGGGCAATTAATCAAAACGTAACAAAAAGGTCATATATGTATCATGGTATAACAAAACAGTCATTTCATCTCTTATTAGCCATGTTTTCATCCATAATAATCGATTATTTTGATGACACCATGGAAAATTGATAACAAATTATCAACCACCTAACCAACCTGTGAAATTACCGCTTATTTAGAGAAAGCAAACTGGTCATTTTGGATGGAAATATGGATGAAAATACATGGAATAGTTGTTTTGTTATAACATGATACTTGTGTGACCTTTATGTTACGTTTCAAACGTTTGTGACCATTTTGATCAATTATCCTGTTTATTGGCCGTTACTGGAAGTCCTTTTTTTAACAGTAATCTCGTTTTTATTCATTTTCTTTTCTATTTTGGAGAAGGAATTTGCTCATTTAGTTTAGGGTTTGAAGAAGGTGTCTATATAAATTTTCTAAAAGATGATGTATACTATTTTCGCTTGGACTAACTAACATATATTGCATTAACGAAACGTACAAATATGTGTATTCTTTTGTTTGCTTTCTTTGTTCATTACCCGTCCTATCGTAATTGTCATATTAGAATATGACAATGCATGTTACCCCGGTCCATTCATAAAAAAATCCTAGACCACTACCAACGGTTTGCTTGTTAAAAACATGATTCTTATGTCAGGGTTAATTATACTAGTTACTAATATTACTATATATAAATTTGAAGTAGAGTTATTATTGCGTAAAAAATTGTTACTTTAGTCA